GGCCGCCCAGCTCGCTGTCCCTTGTCGGGAGTCGTGTCGCAGGTAACAGGCGCGGCTCCCGCCCGAAGGAGGCGGACACACCTACCCGCCCGCCCCTGCGGATCCCGCGGAGCCGGAACGTGAGGACGCGGCTCCCCGGGCTCCTACGTCCCTCCCCGGAGGCGCCGGCCCCGTCCCCGAGGTGGAGGGAGCCGCGGGATCACGACCCGCAGAGGCTGCCTGGCAGGCTTTTCCTCTGCCATGCATTCAGTAATGACACAGTCTGAGGGTAACGAGTACTGGTTGGGTGCCTGCAGCCTGGGAAATGACCAGATTTAGTCCACTCGCGGAAATAAGCGAAGATACGACCTTTAACAAACGAACAAAAACCGTATTGCAAAGATCACTCCATAAAGGGTTTCTCAGGCGATTGGCTAGGATTGCCCAGCCCTCTAAACCTCATGGATACTCTTTCTGTCTTCGCTGCTTCCTGGGAGGGTGGTGGTTATGACCTGACAGGAAGCACATTCATTCAGTAAAAGTGTCTTACACATCTAAGCCAAATCGCTGTAATCTCATGCAGTAATACCTTGCAAAAAATAGCTACATAAACTATTTCACTTTAATTTTTGAGACCCGGTCTCCTCCACGTAGTTAGCTGCCTCCAGACGCTGGGATTGGCATGTACCAATGCCTGGCCGATTTTAATTTTTGCGTAAAACCAGGCCTGTAATGCCAGCACTCAGAAGGCTTAGGGCAGGAGGGTCCCTGCATAGTGAGTTCTGGGCCATCTTGAGCTACAGAGTTAGGACTTTTGGGGGCATAATTTTTTATAAAATCTCGTGAAGCCTACCTATCCCTGAGACTGTCTAGGCAGCTAATGGTTGCTGGGGGAGAGACATTTTCGTCAGTGGTATGATTTATTAAGTTGCTCATGCCCATATGAATAAACCCTCAACCACGCTCTTGTAAGTAAGCAGCTAGTTCACAGAAATAGATAAATAAAATAAATTTTACATACGGCAATCAAGATTAATTTTAATAATGAGTCCTGATACCTTAAAATGTTATTTGGTTATAAATGTTTACTGTTTCCGTTTTACAATTTAATTAAAAACAAAAACGAGACACTAACAAAGATGGTCATTTGTGGCATGGACTGTTGTAACAAAAGGTTAGAGACTGCCCAGTGTCTGTTAACAAGCCAAATACAGTGGTAGAGGGCCTGTGATTTCAGCACTTGGGAAGTAGAGGTAGGAGGGTTGGTGGTTCCTCGGCTACATTGCAAGGTTGCCGCTAGCCTGTGTATGAGACCCATACCCACACGGGACCTGTGTCCACGAATAGGAATTTGGGGAAATGATCAGTGATATATCCTGCTTCTGGCAACTGTTGCAAAATGAAGTACAGCTCTATATTAATATGAGCTAATCTTCAGATAGAACGAAAATGTATGTATACTGTATATAGATTTTGTGTAGAAAAATATGTATTATACTTCTGTATGTACAGAACACCTTTAGCAAGATTCAGAAAAAAACATGACCAGGAAGGACATGACCAGGTCACGTGTGTGAAGAAGAGACAGGACAAGTGACCCAGTGTGAAACAGTAACTTTCTTTTGTAGCATTCCAATATTTTCCCCCATGTTCACCTTTAAAAGTTAATTAGAAGGGAGCAATAGCGAAGTCATAGTGCCATCCTAAGAATTAAATGGGGGTTGGGGAGATGGCTCAGAAATTAAGAGCACATGCTTCTCTTCCGGGGAACCAGTTTCCAGCACCTAGGCTGAGCAGTTCACAACTGCCTTTAGGTCCAGTTCCAGGGCATCGAACGCCTTCTTCTGGCCTCCTTCCAGGGCGCCTGCCCACATGAGCACATGCTTGCCCCACCATACATACACACACATCATTCTTTAAATTAATACAGTGTTAGATAAAACGCCTACGTAGTGCTTTATGGCCTTGTAAGAGCTAGGTGCTATCATTCCCAGGGATCTGAACTAACTCTTCTAGTGACTGGAAACTAGCCCACAGTACTAATGTATGTTTATCAGCTATAAAGAAAGTTAAGTGCATTTTAGCCCATTGAATCTGCCTAAGGTCCAAGAGTAGCACTCCCAGACACTATAAGACAAACTTCAGCTCCTTGGCAGGAATGGAGGCCTCTCTAGTTTTGCAGTCAACTAATGAAGCCCTTCTTGTCCCAGCTGGACTTCCTGCACGCCTGTTCCCAGACATGAGACCCGCCTGGAAGGCCAGGCCTTTGAATTCACTCAGGATCCTAGCTCACCTATCTCAAAAGGGCGATCACTTCTTGTTATATATGCTCATACCTCTTTAAGCTTGTCCTTGAAACTGAATCACCAAAGTCAGGCATGACAGCCCGCTCCTCAAGAGGCTGAGGCAGGAGGACCCTTTGAATGCACCCCCTCCGATGCTCGTGAGTGTGGGCACACCCCACCAAGGACACTGTGAATGTCACTAGTGGAACTTAAGTTTGAAACAATTAAAGGCGGCAGAAAAATTTCTAACAGCCCGCCATTGTTAATCAGTTCTTCGGCTTTGTTGATGCCTCTTTCCCTGCTGAACCATAGAGTCTATGAGGCAAGAAGTCTGTATCCCATATGCTGTTAGACTCTCTGAATAGGAAGTGGGTGGGTGCCCGGCGGGAAGCCGGCAGTGGGCAGTGTGGCAGAGGGCGGTGCCCCCTGCGGCCAGTGTGCTTGCAGTGCTGGCCTCCTAGGCCGCCCTCTGCTTCAGATGCTGTTTCATCAGACCCGGGAAAGAGGAAAACGGCACAGACCTGTCCTTTCCCTGTAGACAGTAGGAGCTCGTGTAGCCGAGTCCCAATACTCGGCCTCATGAGTGCTCTGACTACAGATGGAGCGCTACCAGTAAATCACTTCTGAGTCATCAGGTTGTCCGTCAGTCCCCCTGGAAGGAAGCAAGCCCCCTGGAACGCTTTCCAGACTTGCTTTTAGGGTTTAGCCCCGAGATTAAGGATGGAGTTGTGGAGAGGTTTCCTCTGGGTCACCTGATGGACACATTCAAGGTAGGAACGACAGGAAGCCCAAACCTTGGTGAAGACTCACAGGCCACCCCACCAGCAGCGACCCCCCCCCCAAAGACCCCAGCTGTGCGTTTCTGTAGGCTGCTGTGCTTAGGACAACGGGAGCCACTGGCGGTGACTGCAGATCCGCCACAGGTGACATCTCAGTGGTTCTGGGGACGAAGGAGGGCCCGGTGTGCACAGGATCAGGAGTGGAAATGGAAGTTCCAGCAGAAGCCTGGTATGAGCTTGAGAGGGCAGAGAGAAACAGAGAAACGCTGAGGCCCGATGGCGGCCCCAGTCCTACTCTTGAGTGGATTTGGGGGTCAAGAGCCTCCTTATTATGAGCTTGCAGAACCTCCTCCTCTCTGATATAGATGAGTTCAGAACTGTGGGTTGGCTCTTAAGTCTTGATTTGGGGGTTGGGGACAGGGTCACTCACATAATAGTCCTGGCTGGCCTGAAACTCACCATTTAACCCGGGATAGCCTAGACCCCAATCATTATCCTATTCTCCTGCCTCAGCTGCCCAGGTCCTGGACTTACAGGTAGTCTTTAACAAATCTCTTTTCCAAACAGCTTCCCGCCTACTCTGCATACATGTTTCGCCTGCTGCCTCCTCCCTGCAAACATAGGGCCCAAGCTTAGCCATACTGGAGGAGGGATTTTGCTGGCTTTGTTTCAAAAGGCCCAAGCCATTCTGACTTTGACCTCCAAAAGCTTTCTGTTGTTGTTTTTGTTATTGAGACAGTTTTTCTGTGTAACTTTGGCTGTCCTGCACTAGCTTTGTAAGGCCAGGCTGGCCTTGAACCCACAGAGATCTGCTTGAATCTGCCTTCGAAATGATGGGATTAAAGGCATGCCCCACCCCATCGGGCTTACAACAGCTTTCTTAACCAACAGTCCTCCACTTTAGTGTACCAGAGATCAGCTAGAGAGCTTTTATGAGCCATTTTATCATTGTGTCTTATATAGGAGTCTACAATGTAGTAGGGCTGGGGTTTAGTCCACGAAAATTTGTCCTTCCTCTCTTCTCTTCTCTTCTCTTCTCTTCTCTTCTCTTCTCTTCTCTTC